ATTATTATTATACAAATTTATATACCGCCCAACTTCAGGCTGATTCATAGAAAATTCACATGAACACTGTCTACCTCTGTTTCTATACTTCTCTGTGTGTGGGGGGGTTCTCTGTCTCTTTCTCTCTCTCTCTCTCTCTCTCTCTCTGTGTGTGTGTGTGTGTGTGTGTGTGTGTGTCTGTTTCTCTGTGTGTTTCTCTGTCTCTCTGTTTCTCTCTCTCTGTGTCTCTCTCTCTCCCTCTCTCTCTCTCTCTTTCTCTGTGTATGTCTCTCTGTCTCTCTCTCATACACAGACCCATGGAAACGTTCCTCTTGTGAATCTAGGATAAAAACTGAAATAATTTCCCCTTGATACATTGTGGGATTGCACGTTACAAATTGCAGGAACCCAATATCGGGCATTTAATCACATTTTATAGAGAGAGTGCCAGATTGGAAGAAAGCTGGAGACGGGAGGGGGAGGACGTTGTACAAAGCCAGGGTTACCTTTAACCGTGGTCTCTTCACTAAACTGAGTTGGGTTCAGCTAAGCGTGGCTAGTGTCCTCTAGCCAGCAAAAAGAAAAAAAAAATGGATTGCTTACCGCAATCTTGGCTGCAAAAATCAGAGTGTTCTCTAGAGGGCAGCAGGATAGAGCCAATGGGTCGGGTCTGGTCTGTGCTGCCCTCTAGGGATGGTCCGTGGTATTGTTAGAGTCAGAAATAGGGAAATTATAACCCTGGGGGTGACGGGAAGGGGGCTTTGGCTTTCTATGTTGGGTAATCCAAATCCTTATTGTTGGTAAATTTTAGTTTATGACTGGATAGGTCTCTGCAATGCAACTCGATTTATTCCAGAAAACGTATTTTAGGACACCTTCACTTAAATCCACGCAGCACATCCATCGAGGATTACTTTTGGGGTTTCTGTAAAGAATAGTAGTGAAACCGCCCCCTTTTTTAAAATCCAAGGAATATGGATATGCATATGGAAGCAAAAATATTGAATTTATCAGGACGCCTCTCTCTCGGGGTAAAATAAAATAAAATAGCAAATTCTCAACTATGTGGAAAATTCCCTGATTTGGGGCTTCGTTTACTGCTAAATCAGTTAGAAAACTACACCTAGAAAAGCTGACATGGGGAAGACGTTAAAGGTCCACGAAAACGTTTGATTTTCCGCTCCTTTTTAATCGAGACAAACTCTCCGCAAAGAAAGAAAGCGCAGCGGCGCGCTTGAGTTGCAACCCTTCCTTTCCAACGACAGAGAAAAACTCCACGTGTATTCTTGCACACGTTTTATTGCCCAAACCAGGTTAATTTGGGTCATGAAACGCCTGCAAGAAAACCAGCAAGCTCAGAGAGCACCAAGGACTCCTTCGCGTCAACCCTGAGCTACAAATAATCTCCTTTACTTTAGTTACAAGTCCGCGCGGCCACAAACCATTAGGCGTAAAAGGGGTCCGCTGGATCTCCACACTTTAATTCCAGATTTATATGATTTTTTTCCTTTAAAATGAAGGGGAAATAAAGGCATGGACACACAGAGGAGAAGAGAGGGGGGGGGGATTTTTATTTTATTCCCCCCCCCCCCCCCCCCCCCCCCCCCCCCAGCAAAATTTGGATAGTAACACGATCAATTTTGGTTTCAATTCAGTCCGGGTCCTTTTCTTTTTTTTAATGAAATGAGAACTGGCGTTTTCGGAGGACATTTTTCTGCAGCCCCTTCCCAGCTTTTAAGAGGCCTATATAGAGCGATTTTTCTAAAGAGGTTTGTTGCAAAAAAAAGAGGTTGTTTTCAATAGGAAAGCACGCCTAGATTTTTCACTTGCATTTAAGAGGGCCAGCAATATATTTTTCATCCTTTAACCCAAAGCCGCTTTCTCCTTTTTTATAATCTCCTTTTTTATATATATATAAATCCTCAAACAGGCTCCTTTCCTAACGGGGAGCGTCATTCATCGCGTTGGGTTTACTAGAAAAAAATTAACAAAGCAAAACGTTTCAAAGGGAAGCCTAAACGGAATCCAAATATCAATAATTTTTCTGGTGTGGGGAAGGGAAAGAATGAATAATGTGTGCGGGTATTATATGCGAGCGTGCAGGCACAAATTCTGCATTCGCGCATGCTTTAAAATGTATATACATCATGTTTTCATACACGCAGGGACACAGTTTAAAATGTACATACAAATGCAAAGATATGTACGCACGCTTTTATACAAACACACACAAAAGATGCACGTAAAATACACATGAGCACACACCTTGTTTTAAATTGTGTGTGTATGTATATGTATAATATATACACACACATACATACACACATACGTGCGCAGACTTGCATGCATGTGCGTGCATAGATACACATATATACCCATACATAGGTACACTTATTTTAAATGTGTACATATATATATATACACACACACGTTTTCGTACACATGTACACAAGTATACATACACACACATATAAATTATATTAAACACATATATCTGCTTTCATAGATTTATACCCACACATAGGTACATATTTTAAATGCGTACATATGTATACACAATTTTCGTACACACGCACACAAGTACACACACACACACACATTTAAGTTAGACTAAATGTCAGGTTTCCAACACTATTTATCTATATCAAATAGGTGAAATTGATTGGTGGCCATTTTCTTCTAAATCCTTGCTCGACCCCATTCCTAATTATAGTAATATTTTGTCTTGCGGGAGGAGGGGGGCAGGGAAAGGCTATGAATTAATTAAGCAGGTTGTGATTGTCTTGGGGGGGGGGCTGGGTTTTGGATTCCCCCCCCCCCCCCCCCAAAAAAATTTGAGGGTTTTTTGAAGGCTTCAAGGCCAGCCGCGGCTTAAAAAGCGGTACCAAAACTTCCCTCCGGAAAGGAGGCGAAAAGTTTTGCAAAAAGAGGCAGGAACATAAACGGGGAGTGAGTCAGGGAATCTGTGGCTTGTTGAGTTTCTTTCACGCCCCCCTCCTCTCTTCCCCGCTCTGGATTTCATTGTTAATGTTGCTCTTTTTTTTGCCACCTCCTCCTCCCTTTTGGGGGGGGGCTAAATACGGGAACGATTCTGCCGGGGAGCTTTGCATGGCTAAGAACCGGAGCGGCCCAACCAGTTGGGGGCAATTCCATTCGGTCAAAAATCATCTGCGCTCCGGCTTTTTCAATAAAGCTCCATTCGGGGAGGGAGGGAAGGAAAAGAAAGGAAGCAAAATAGGAGGGAAGAGAAGAGAAGGAAAGGAAAGGAGAGGAGAGGAGGAGAGGGGAAAGAGGAAAAGAAAGGAAAGGAAGGAAGGAAGGAAAGCAGGAAAGAAGGAAGGAAAGGAAACAAAAGGGAAGGAAGGAAAGAAAGAAGAAAGGAAAGGAAACAAAAGGGAAGGAAGGAAGGAAAAGAAGGGAAGGAAAGAAGGAAGAAAGGAAGGAAAAAAGGAAGCAAGCAAGCTGGGAAACCCAGTCTAAAACCCTGAGCCCCCTTGAACTTCAGAGCAATTCATCCAAAGGCATCCCCGTTTCCAAACCCCCTTCCTCGCAAAATAAACCACACGCGAAAAATTTGCACTGGTGGGTTTGAAAACACCCCGCCCCCCCCCCTTACACTTTCCCCCAAGGCCGACTCTCTAGATGTGTCAGAGGCAACCCCCATCATCCCCAGCCAGAGGGAAGGACGAAGAGGTGACTTGCATGGACGCTGGAGGCCTGGCTGGACACCGGCGAGTCAGGAGGACTAAAAACAGGTTTTTGAAACCTGAGGTTCCGGCGATATTTCCCTTACCCTTAATGAACTGATCACTTATCGCCACGAGCCAACACGGCTAATTATTCCTCTTCTGATTACTGACCCCGGCTTTGGTTACATTTTTCATTTCCTGCAAACTACGCAGACCCGCCTTCGATCGTGTGTGTGTCCCCGAAAAGTGATTTTTTTTTTTTTTTGCTCCAGCTTGTACCTACTCTGAGAGTCGGACCCGAGTTTAAGGAAAACAAAAAGGGGCTTTACGAATAGAAAAGTGGAACTGACAAATGCTGAGCCGGAGGGGAATCATTGCAATAGAAGAGGCCTTAAGGAGGTAGGAAAAAAGCATGCGAGATCCGGCATGAGCTAGGAATTCACTTTTCAATGTTTCTTGCATTAATAAAATCACAATCTTTCTCTTTCTTCTCTCTCTCTTCTCTTCTCTCTCTTCTCTCTGTCTCTCTCTCTCTCTCCTCTTCTCTCTCTGTCTTCTCTCTCTTCTTTCTCTTCTCTCTCTGTCTCTCTCTCCTCTCTCTCTCTCTCCTCTCTCTATCTCTCTTCTTTCTCTTCTCTCTCTCTTTCTGTCTCTCTCTTCCTCTTCCTCTTCTTTCTTTCTGTCTCTCTCTTTTCTCTCTCTCCTCTCTCTGTCTCTCTTTCTGTCTCTTTCTGTCTCTCCCTTCTTTCTCTGTCTCTCTCTTCTGTCTCTCTCTCTGTCTCTTCTCTGTGTGTCTCTCTCGTCTCTCTTTCTGTGTTTCCAGTCATTCTACAAAGGACGGTCGGCTGCACGTCGCCCCCACTTTATTCGGGAGCAAAAGGAGCGGAGGATTAAACAGTAAGGCGAACTCCGCCAGCATTTGGCATCCAAACGTTCCCCCATCCCCGATCCAAAGCCGTTCGCGACGTTTTCCCCGCAGCAAATTAACGTGGCACCCCAATATACTTTTCCGCCTCCCCCCGCAGATCCCCCCCCAAAAAAATTCCTGGGAAAAGACGCGCAAAAAGTCGCCCGAGTCCTCGCAAGAGAGAGCAGCCGCGCAAGGCGGGCAACAACCCGCCCCCCTCGCTGCCCCCCAAATTATCCCTGGCTTTGGCGCACAGGCGGCGCAGCGAGGCCTGGGAAACGCGCGAGGAGGGGGAGCTGAGTCGCCTCCCCAGCTCCAAACGCCAGGGAAGTAGAGTTTCTACCCCCCCCCCCAGCCCCCCAAAAAGAAAGTCGCACGCATCTGCTTTAGAGAGACCCACCGAGGGGGAGGGGGGGGCTTCTAACCTGCCGGCTTTGGTGACGATCATTTCGGTGCCCAGTTGATTGAATTCGTCCCACAGCGCTTTCATCTCCAACTGGACGCTGATGTTGGCCACTTTGGGGTTCTTCTTGACCGGAGCCTTGGTCGAGGCCGGGCCCGATCCTCCAGAGCCGGAGCCCGGTCCGCTGCTTCCTCCTCCTCCTCCTCCTCCACCGCCGCCTCCTCCTCCTCCTCCTCCTCCACCGCCCCCGCCGCCTTCGGGAGCCTCGGAGCCCACCGGGAGTGGAGGGTTGTTGCTGGCCGCCGCTCCGGGCGCGAAGGAGTAGCCGCCGTGTTGCGCCTGGCCGTGGTGGCGGTGCGGCGGTTGTTGGTGCTGGTGCTGGTGCTGCTGGGCCGGCGGGTGGTGAGGCGGCGGCTGGGCCGAGCAGGGGTCGTAGTGGGGCGGCTCATGTTGGCCGTAAGTCTCTCCGGCCGGGGAGGGCGGGAGGTGAGGGTAGCCCGCCGCGGCGGCCGCGGCCGAGTTGAGGCTGCTCAGGCTGTTGGCGGTGAAAGCTGCAACATCGCAAAAATGGGAGAGCTGCGTGAGCCACGGGCTGGAGACGGCTGAGATCATTCCAGGCAGGCGGCGAGGAAGAAGAGCCAGAGGGAGAGAGGGAGAAAGAGAGAGAGTGTGAGCAGCGGAGGAGGAGGAGGAAGAGGAGGAGGAGGGCGGAGAGGGCACCCAAGCGCAGCCGGCCGGCCTGGCTCCCTCGCCTGCCCGCCTGCCTTCTTCCCTCCCTCCCTCCCGCTGGGCTCTGGGCCGCCCCGTCGTGGCCCGCCTCCACTTATAGCACCCCCGAACCGCCAGCCAGCCAGCCAGCCAGCCCGCCCGCCAGCCGGCCAGCCGCGTGCGCGCCCTGGGAACGCGCGAGCAAGCGGCTGCCTCTTTGCGCTCTCCTCCGGCCCCGTTTTTGCGCTCGGCCAAGTTCGAGCCTGGAGCGCGCACGTCCCACCCACCCCGCGCGCGCGCTCCCCCTTCTTCTCCACGCCCCCTCCTCTTCTTTCTTTCTCCCCCGCCCCCTTAAAGTTAAGGAGGAAGGGAGAGGGGAGGGGAAGGCCTGCCCTTCCCCACGTCCAACCGAACGGTCTTCTCCCCGGAGCGGAGCCAAAACAGTCCTTGCGCGCAGCCAAGGCTGGGTTTGCGCGCTGTTAACTCCCCTTTTCTCCGCTCAGCCTTGGTTTGGCCAGCCGAGGCGCGCTCCTCCTGCTTCCAGGGCGCGTTCCCAAGCGGGGAAAGGGGAGGGAGGGAGCGGCGGCGGCGGCGCGCCTTTTGCCTCTTCCCAGGGAGCGCGCACCGCGGCTCTTTGGCTGCTCTCCTTCCCTCCGAGCGCCAGCAGCGGCAAGGAGCTTCTCCCGCCCCTCTCCTCCTCTTCCTTTCTCTCGGGCCTCCCAAGCCTGGAGGGGAGCAGCAGGCGAGGAGGCGGCCAACAATGTGCTCGCAGCCGCCGACGGGCGAGGCTGGTTCCCCCACTCCCCAAACCTTGTTCGCTTCTCTTTCTCCCGGCTTGGCTACCAGGCTGCCTCGCCGGGTGTCCCCGAGGCCGCCGCCAAACCGGTTCTGATTTGATTTTCGCTTTTTCCTCCCCGCCTTCCTCTGAGATAAGACGGAGCGGGAAGAGGGGGTAGCACCACCTTTGCAGGTAAACCGCCCCCCCCACCCCGGGAATGTTTGACGAGGAAAGCAATTCGGTCTCGGGCGAAAAGAAGGGGGTGGGCTGGCTCCTCACGTTCCTCTCTCTCTCTCTCTCTCTCTCTCTCTCTCTCTCTCTCTCTCTCTCCCCCTACCTACGGTATCTACGGCATCTCTCTCTCTATCTATCTACGGTATCTACCTACCTACCTACCTCTCTCTCTTTATCTATCTATCTATCTATCTATCTATCTATCTATCTATCTATCGTATCTACCTACCTACCTACCTACCTACCTACCTACCTACCTACCTACCTACCTACCTACCTACCTACCTACCTCTCTATCTATGGTATCTCTCTCTCTCTCTCTCTCTCTCTCTCTCTCTGGTATCTATCTATCTATCTATCTATCTATCTATCTATCTATCTATCTATCTATCTATCTACCCCCCCCTCTCTATCTAGGGGTTATTGACAATCTGTTTAGCTCCTGTTCTCCCGTTCGCCCTTTCTGCCGGAGGAATTTGGCTTCCACCAGCAAGAAGTAGGAACGGGGGAGGGGGCCGCCTATCTCGCAACCCCTTCACACTGGCCTTGTCCTGATCTTCTCCATGCCCCCCACCCACCCACCCACCCACTCTAACCCTGCCCGGTTGGGCCGAGGCTAGAGACCGAACGAGGTCCCCTTCCGAAAGGGATCTGAACAGAATTCAGAAGGAGCCTCATTCTGAAGACACCGCCGCTGGTCCCGCTCCCCAGCCGGCGTTTAAGGTCCGGCCGATCTATAATCGGGGCGATCGGAGCCTTGGAATTACGGAGCGAAATGCCTGCCCTGGAAGGACGGACTCCAGAGGAATTTGGATGGGATTTATTTCTCGTTCTGGAGAAGGAGAAAATTTTAGTTCGCCTTTGGAGATTTGCAGCGGGAGAGGAGAACGCGCGATCCAGCCTCCGTTTTATTTTAATGTCAAATAGATAAGGCGGGGTGGACGGGGGGGGGAGGGGACGAGGAAACGAGCCAAGCGTTTTTCCATGCATCCTTCCAGCTCCGCCCGCCACCCCTGTCCAATAATTTCCTACCGCGGTTTCCCCTCGAAAGCCCTTGAAACCCGCTGGCGAGCTAGAGAGTTTGCGTTTTCAGGCAAAGGCTCCGCGATTTGACATGGGCGGAGGAGACGCCATCATTTCCTTAACTTCCCGCGATTAAACTTTTTGATACCGTCGCTATTTATTATGCGAGAGAATAAGGGCAAGGGCTTTTGATTATTATTGTTGTTATTGTTGTTGATGATTATGTGCCATTAAGTGGGTGTCGACTTTTAGGGTTATTTGTAATAGTATGTGCAGTAATTAGAATAGGTAGGTAGATAGGTAGATAGATAGATGAATTTAGATAGATAGATAGATAGATAGATAGATAGATAGATAGATAGATAGATAGATAGATAGATAGATAGATGAATTTAGATAGGTGAATTTAGATAGATAGATAAATTTAGATAGATAGATAGATGAATTTAGATAGATAGATAGATAGATGGATGACTAGGTGGCTCAAGTGGCTGAGCTTGTCGATCAGAAAGGTCGGCAGTTCTGCGGTTCGAATCCCTAGTACAGGTCTCCTGCGTGAGCAGGGGGTTGGACTAGATGACCTCCAAGGTCCCTTCCAACTCTGTTACTTAGATAGATAGATAGATAGATAGATAGATAGATAGATACATACATACATACATACATACATACATACATACATACATAATTAGGATAGACAGACAGACAGACAGACAATAGAGTGTCTGTGTTTTGTGTGTGTGTGAGAGAGAGAGAGAGAGAGAAAGAAAGAAAGGGAGAGGGAGAGGGAGGGAGGGAGAGGGAGGGAGGGAGGGAGAGGGGATTTTTTTTCTGAACCAGTCTGGGACATTTTAAAGGATCTCGACCCAAGCCGAAGAACCCTTTAGATAGAAAGAAGTGAATAAAATTCAGGCCAAGCCCTGCTGTTTATTTTCCCTTCCCACCCTCCGTTCTTCTTCCAAACGCTCCACCGCTATTCTGCGCTCAGTTAGGAGGGTTTTTTTTTCCCAGCGCCTAATTTGTAGGATTTTTTTTTCTTCCTTTGATAGCCACAGCCTCTCGACCTCCATCGCAAATATTTGGGACAAATATTTAGGTCAAAACCCTTGCGGGCTTCTCCGCTGTTCTCCAGTTCAGAGAAATATTTTGGTTTTTCCAAGGCTTGGGTCAGCCGTCAAGGCGAGACTGCTTTCTTTGTCCTTTCAAATGGAGCCACAATGTTATTTTACACGCGTAAAATATTTGTCTGAACGATGGTGTCATTCCTTCCCATTTTATTCCTTTTCATCTCTTTCTGCACTCTGTAAACTGTGAACTGATTAATTATTTGTATCCTGCATCATTATTATTTACTACAAATAAGGCGGCGAATATATCCATCACACCTTCCTCCTACTTTCCCCCAACAACAACCCTGCGAAGTAGGCTGGGGCTGAGAGAGACTGACTGGTCCGAGGATACCCAAAGTGGCTTGCGTGGCTAAGGCGGGACTAGAACTCACCGTCTCCTGGTGAGTCAAAGTCACCCAAAGTCACCCAGTCGGCCTTTCACAGCTAAGAAGGGACTTGAATTCACCATCTACCCTGCCTCCTCCTCCTCTTACTGAGTTGAAGACATTAAAAATAAATAAATAAATAAATAACAAATAATCAATCAATCAATCAATCAATACTTCCTAAATCACCCGCACACTTTAAGGAGAACTGTATTAAATTTTTATTTTGGAGAGGAGCAGTGCTTATGTGCGAGGTTTTGGCCACTGCTTCAGTTGTGACAGCGTTAGCCCCCAAAAGCTCTTAGCTGAATTAATGAAATCGTGGCTTATTCAAAACGAGAGTTTTACGGTGGGCAAGATCCAGGGACGCTTAAATAACTGCAAAGCTTGGCCCGCTGAGCTAAAAAATGTATTTTTTTAAAAAAAATATGTGATTCTATAGGAACAGAACTGGGCAACACACAAAAGGCTGCTAACCGGTTTTGCGTGCTTAATTAAGTCTGAAACTCAACTTTGTGGGCAATTAATGCCATCTAGAGACCCATCTGTGGGTCTCTAAATCCAGCCTAAAACAAACGCACGGAAGTTGGTTTTATTTTTTATTTTGTCCTGCACGGGAAAAAAACACAAGCCATTTTCGACTCTCTTAAAAGAAATAGTCCCTTTAAAAAAGAGGGGGGGAAAGAGAAAAGGATCACACCCTGCGGCTGAAGAGCAAAACCTTTGCGATTCTTCATCCCAGATTTTGATTAACCATGGTTTAGCAACTCATCGATTTAAAAAGAGCCTTAGAGTAGGGTTGTTGTTTTTTTTTAATCTCACTTTAAGCCACTTTATAGTTCGGGAGTTCTCCCCAGGAGCTAAGGGACCCAAAGTATATTGTGTGAATCCGGGGTATTCCTGGCCTCTGACATACCATCCCTTCCCCTCTCCACCCAGACCCACAGACACGCGAGTTTGCCCTGGAACTCTACAGCTCGGTGGCAAGCTCGCTAATTGACAGGAAGCTGTCATTAAAAGAGTTAACAGCTTCTGTTAGCTTTATCTCCAGTTCTTGAGTTTAATCGTAGCTTCTGAGTTGTTTCCCCCATTGGAAGAGATGCCCCTGGAGAAAAATATTCAATGTTTGCATCCCAGTTAGATACCTATTTCTGTTCGGGAGGTGTCCCAGTGGAGAATTTACTCCTCGGAAACTAAGGAGACAATCCTTTGATATAAAAGTCTCTGGGTTTCTATTCCGATTATTTAGAGACAGCGCGTTACTCAACTAACTAAACCTTAACTAAAGGTTTACTCAGACAATCCCGCTTGCTTAAGCAGCAACAGCAGGACTTGCCCAGCGGATTTACTCCGAACTGGCCTGAGCCGACTTTTTCTAGGCTGACCCAACACATTAAGCCGTAGCAATAGTGGACTACGCTCGACCGGAGATTTCAACTCCTCTGCTTGTGTGAATGCAGCCGCGGCTGGATCTGGTGTCC